GCTTGCCTCTTTCTAACATTATTTTTGTCGTGCAAGATCATTGTAAAAGAAAGGAGTCATGATTTTTTGAAGATCGTGCGAACGATTTTTCGGTTCAACCTAATATTATTAAAAACAGAAAAGAGTGATCATTTTGATAAAGCAAGAACTTACTCGATGAGCTCGCCATTGCGTAGTCGAGTCACTAACAAGGCTGTGATGTTTATTCCCACAACAGCAAATGGGAAGTCCTGAAACGACAAATGGCCTTCTCACCACAAAGATCTATAAGCGTCCTACAAATGATCTATAAGAGCACTAACGTGAGGTTCGTTCCGCGAAAGCTGGACAATAGCAGCCAGCTTACTTTCAGGTAGCGTTTGTACTAGATTATAAAGTTGAATTAGGCTGAGAATTCCTGTGCCACGAAAGTCTGTCGCTGGATCGCAGCCTGAAATGACGAGGGAACTTATCTCATTGTCAGTTACTTCGACATACATAGAAAACGTAAAACAAGTGTTAGAAAAAATAGTGCAGAGATCGCCTGATTTGTTGATTTATGCTCGTGCTTACAATCAGATGAGCGCAGTATGATTGTGGATAAACCCAACTGGAAAGGATAGTAGTTGTATTCAACATATTGCCTAGCTCAAGTAAAAGAACCTGAACTTCGGCAAACACCTAAACCTCTATAATAAACTTTCCAGTGCTTTCTAAATGAATCGAAAACGAGTGTGTCAACGAAGCCTGTTGTCCAAATAAATTGGTGATAGCTAAAATAAAGCAATATCCTTTCCTCAAAAATGACTAGCAAATCTTGTTCGCAAATTCTCTTATATTGTTACCAGACGCTCTCCGCTGCTAGGCGGAGGTTCGGCTGATACGCGGCAGCTTCACTTCGTAAAACTTTTACTTTCTATTACGGAAATGTGGAAATTTGCCATTTTGTACGAATTACTTTGATTCATAAGCTGCGTAGAAAGAATAAATGAGGACATGATTTCAGCTTTGTCAGTTCATTTGATTCATTCCAACATAAGCAACGCAAAACAATAAAACGATGGGGCAATCCGTGAGTCCCAAACAAAATAGACTGTTAACGCATGCTCCATCTTATAACTAGTATGTTAAGTTTGAATTAGGTTTCATGGGTTTCTTCTACCCCTTTGGGAGAAGATAAAACATTTTCGAAGCAAAACCTGCTAAAAATCAATAAATCGATACGGCAATCCGTGTGTCCGGAACAAAATGGCTTATTAACATACGCTCCACCCTATAGATTAGTATGCCAATTTTGGTTCAGATTCTGCGATCATTGATTGATTTGATTCATTTTCCTCCAAGAGCTGCTGATCAAGCAAAGCCTAATATTTGGCAAATAGAAGTAGACAAAAAATTTGTTAGCATCATTTTCACCTTCCAGAAATGGGTTAATGTCAAGGCAATCTCGTGACAACTTCCACCTTCATTTTTTTTCTTTTTCTTATAAAAATTCTTTGATTCTTATTTTATATGCCTTTAGATTTTTTACAGATGGCGACTTTGTTACTGGTTGAAGGCTGTATATTTCTCTTCAATAAAGCAAGTGGAAATTTGTAAGAAATAATTCGAGAAATTCCAAAAAGTTCAAAAATTCATTTTGCACGTGTGACATTCATATGTCAAAAGCTATTACTTTCCAAATAATCTGAAGATGAGGAAATGATATTTGGAAAAATCAAGAAAATTTCTCTCAGTTGTAACAAAACTTTTATCGCGACCTAATAATAGGACAATGCAAGCATTCTTCATCTGTGTGGAGAAATTTTTTTTTCGAAAATCCATTATGTTGCTCGAAAATAATCGCAAATAATCCTGTGTTGTAACGAAAAGTTGATTGGTAAAAATATTTCAAAGGCTTAATTGTCGCGCCAAAGCCCAAAAAGCGTAAGAATGCAAATGTTTTCATAATTAACAGTACGGCAGCACGGCAAGGACAGTGAGCGAAATTTCGACAAATTCTAACAATATGGACTCCATATTATGGAGGCAAGGTGAAAGGGACCTTGTTCTAGCAGTGGCATAAACATTGCAAATATTTGTAAACGACTCAGTTCAAACTCTAAAAATGACGTAGAGATACGAGGATGCAGAAGATCGCACTGATTTGTGGAGCTATTAGCAAAGCGGAATAACCTGATTTTTGCAGATACCATTTTTCCACAGAATTAAAGAATAAATAAGAATTTCTTATGATGTGAACATATTAGAAAAATTTTTCTGACTCAACAATCACGTTCAAAGTTTGGTAAGTAATTAGGTGATCCAAAACTCTTCAAAAAATGGTTCAATCAATGCTGTTTTTCCAGAACATTTATTGTGATTTTTGAATAAACTGTAGGGAACTTTCGATACTCACAAGATTCAGATACAAATTCTGCCTTTGCATGACTATCATACGGTAACTACGGTAAAACAAAAATTGAGGAATGATAATGTCAAAAATGATGCCTCACCTTGAAAGCCAACAATCTGCCAGTGGTTCCCCTTCCGAGGGCACTCTGAAGCTAAAGCTGGTTCTTCGAGAGCAAAAGTCGCCGTTGCAGTATAGAAACCACGAAGCAAGGCCCATTGTGAAGCTGATGCATTGCAATAGGGAACTGAAAAAAGGAATTGATTGATTTCGTCGCTTGCAAATTCTCACCGTCTATCACATGGATTTTTCGGTTCTCTTATATTAGTTCATCAAGGTGAAGATTCGTTTGCACCATTTGCAAAAATTCATAACTTCTGATTTTCCAACCGATTTGTTTTTTTTTTTGAAGAGCAAATCATGCCCTCTCTATATCTTAAAGGCTTATTAATAGCCCTCTACTGCACAGATAGGAATGTACAAAAAATATGCAGATTTTGGAAATTCTGCATAAGGTCATAAAAATCTTAAATTAATACTAAAAATCGAGCAGTCGGTGTTATAAGTTTTTTT